AAAAATCATTAATATTTAACTAAAACTTTTATTTAAAAACAATTCACACAAAACGCAACTCGAGATTCATTTGAATTATAAATTGATATTTTTATATCGGAGTTATAAACATATACGCAATTATAATTAAATATAAATAAATTAAAATGAATATGATTAAATTGGTCACTGTGTCTATAGCCGAGCTAGGTCGTATTGCTCTCAATAGGCTAAACATGTATGAAGGGGATCGGCGTTTGGACGGCCGGGTAGTACTCATCACCGGAGCCAACACTGGGATCGGCAAAGAGACAGCATTTCAGTTATCGTTAAGAGGCGCTAAAGTAAGTAATTTACTTATAACTAGATAATAATGGATATTGTAATAGTAATTATTGTAATCTTATTACAATTATTGTACATTCAATCAATCTATATTATTTGAGATTACTATAAATTAAGCGTATTAAGATATCTTTAAAAAATTACCCATAATTATTTTTGACTACTAATTAAGGTAATAATGTGTTGTCGATCGCTGGATAGGGGAGAGGAGGCGCTGAACGACATTAAAGCTCAGAACCCATCGGCAGATCTGACACTATTTAAACTGGATTTGGCGTCACTTAAGTCCGTCCGACAGTTCGCTCAAACCGTTGGACAACAGGTGCCGAAAGTGGATATACTTATCAATAACGCCGGAGTGGCCGTCACTCCCGAGTGGAAAACTACCGATGGTTTTGAGATGCAGTTCGGCACCAATCATCTAGGTGATATATTGATTTTACTATATTATAATTACACTATAAATGTTCTAACTTGTTGTAATAATTTGAATACTTAACTAAATATAATTTTTTCATTTCCTTACAATAATTAAACATTTTTTAATATTTTAGGCCACTTTCTGTTGACATTACTACTGTTGCCATTATTAAAGAAAAGTCAATCGGCCAGGGTGATTACAGTGTCATCAACCGCATATATGGCAGGCAAAATTGACCTCGATAACGTAAACCTCCATAACGGTTCGTACGCCCCGTTCAAGGCTTACGCCCAAAGTAAACTGGCCAACATATTATTTAGCCGAGAGTTGGCCCGTAGACTGGGCACTAAGTCAACGGTGCGCACCTATAGTCTACATCCGGGACCAGTTTATACTGAAATATTTCGCCATTCAGACATGGGATCTATTGGTGATAAATTGGCCAAGAAGCTTTTTCTAACCGTAGATAAGGGCGCCTATACCACTGTTTACTGCGCTCTGGAGCCCAGTTTAGATAATGAGACAGGTTGCTTTTATGCGTAAGTTATTTTTATTAAGATTAAATTTATTATTTTTGACGTTTATAAGTTAACAATATTTTTAAAATGCAATTTTTGGTATGTGTATAATTTATAGATTAATTAATTACATGCTGTTACAATAAATTTAAAATTTAAATTTTGTTTAATTTAATAATGAAAACGTGTTTTATTGGCAGAAACTGTCGTCGAGTCGATCGCATGATATCGACGGCAACCGACGATAAGATGGGCGAAAGGCTGTGGGAATTGAGCACTGAATTGGTTAATATCGACGATAACATGAGATTACCTCCTATTAAGACAGCCGCCTGGCAGGACACCAGCTAAAACTTACCATGTACAATTTATTATGTTATATATTGGTAAAATTAATTACTGAAATTAGACAGTGTTTTATAATATTGTAGTATAACTTTTTATTTTTAATTATTAAAAGGTCTGTTTTTGTTAAAGTTAATTCACAGTGTGATAAAGATTATAAATTAATTGCTCAATGGTCAATTATTTGCTTGTATTTTTATATTATATGAGTAGAGGAGCACCGATATAAGCACGCGCATGGGCAGTAGAGATCTGTGCACATCTAATGAAGAGACGGTAGTGTATAGCCTCAGGCAAAATAGCCTGAGGTAT